ATACAAAGTTCTGCTTTTTTATATAAGTGAAAGTAAAATACTTTAAAAAATATTTACACTAAGAAAAGTTTTCGTGATTAAAGAACAAAATATGAATAGTTTTTTATTAATTAAACATCCAATTATTTATGAAGGTCTAATACAATATAAGTGAAAACATATATAAGTTGTTTAAAATGTTTTATTAAGTCTTACTTTTTTAACTCAGGCTTCAGCCTATTACACACTTTACTCTCTTTTAAGTAAATATATTACCTTTTAACAATTAAAACTTGAATTAAAAATGCTTGTAATAGGAATCCGTCAATATAAGAAATAATTGTTACAAAGAGACTTGAGTAGTCCATGCTATATGTTTCAATGTATGTTACTTCATTCAATAGCAGCGGTGTCCACATCTCTAGATAAGAATTAAATAATCAATAAAAACAAACATTACTATTGTTGATCTCCAAAAGTAAGTTGCAATCGATCATAAACATGTTTGTATACTATCAATCAAACAAAATCATAATAATCAAACAAAATGCATGATTGTATTATACTCGTAATAAAATATAATATTATTCTGCTGCTCAAACAGACTTGTTAAAACCTTTTTCTCAGTATCCACGTCCCTAAAAAGGAGTATTACGTTAGAATTTCGGTATCGTTTATTTGCAGCATTACAGAACTATTTGTATACTACGTATACAAGAAAACAAAACATAATTATCAATTCGTGCTAGACGAGTTTATAAATACCACTAAAGAATTTATTTGTGCTTATGAAAACAAAATAAAGAAGGTTGTTTGATTGATTGAAAGAAGATGGTTTATAGTTAATATAATAAATTAACTTTATGTTAACTGTATATATAAATAAATTAAAATTAGATTCACTCTTTAATGTCGTAAGCCATTACCGAGTCAAAAGATCAATTTCAAACAATACATGCAAAATATAATCATACAAAAACATAACGCCTTCGCCAGGCGTGCGCATGTGTCTAGTAGGCCGCTGCGTTTTAACAACTGATTATTTAGCAGAGTTTTAGATGTACGTTTTCGAGAAATGGTGACATTCTGTTTTGAACGATTTTACATCCGGTGGCAAAGTTACCAACGGATAAGCTGGAGAGCCCTAGGTCACGCAGCTCCTCTTTCCTTTAACGTGCTGCGCATGGGTTTGCCAATCCCCGCCTAATAACGTCACGTGCAGATTCCAGAAAGACTTGGAGTCGTTGTGTATTGGGCTGCCTTCGTGTTCGATTGAATTATTAGTTTCCGGACGTGCCATCTTCAAAGAGCATTAGTCCCGTAAGTGTAGCGATTTATTTCGCGGGATTCCCCTGCTGGATGGCTTGATTCAGCGCAGACCTACGCATTGTCTTGCGGAGTTTTCTCTTGACCAGGTATCTGCCACCAGTGTGACACCGGCCCAATTGGGGCAACCTACAAGCTCTCATCTCGTCTCCCGACATGTGTGGTAGTGTAATGCAAGAACGCGCGCGCGTGTGTGTGTGTGAGGGTGTGTGTAGGTTACTGGTGCGGATAGGGCAAGGGAGGGGAAGGAAACTTAGTACGTCCATGGATTACTAAGTTTGGGTTCAAAACGTAGGGGTCCATGGCCCGTTTGTTAGGGTACTGCTCTGGCATTCTCCTGATGTTGATCGGCGGAACCATTGTTATCTACCTATCTGAGTAGCCGGCCGCTATAATTCTCCAGACAGCGGATGAATTCGATCTGGTTCTGTAGATAGTGTCGAAAATGCTGCCACTGTTGGGGCTTGAACTCTACTGTCCTCCTAACTGTTAGAGGCACTGCAGTGACAACACTATTTTTAAAACGACTACAGTACCTACCCATTGGCTGGAAAGTTTTCTACTCCAGCAGTTGCAAATAGGGCCAATAGAGCCCTCTATTACTAGTATTCTGGGAGAAAGCCAACAAATTAAGAATAAATAGATAAAAACAGAGCAACAGAGTAACATTCCTTCTGAACTCCTAAAAGAAAAGCATGAAACAACCCTTCTTCAAGAAAACAAAAAATTGTTTTACAAAATACGTTTGTAAAAAGTGATATTTTCTTATGTTTACACAAACATGCAAAAATTATTTCCTGTATTAATTTAAACATGTTACATAAACTGTTATTGATAATGAAGGGCCATACTCTTTTGTTTTCTTTGTAGGCCTTTCGTTTGTACAAATTCATCTGGTCATTTCTGCAACATGTACTGTTATCATGCGTAAATGACAATTACGTTTCGTTCTGAACGAAGAAGAATAATTAGTGAAATGAATAATATTTCTGCCTCCATTTCTCTGCCAGGTATACTAGGCAAATTGGAGAATTTTTATTGTAAAATACACGCCTTTTTCTGACTCTATTTGTGAATGAACACAGCCAGACAACGACTCTATTTTATTAGCATTAATTCGCGATTACACCTCGCCGCTAGGCGACAAAGGTTTCGCAAGCACGCGCAAACAGTTAATTTACGTGGAAGTGCTGGCACATGCCCGTACGTCCACCTGCGTTAATATTTCACCGAAAGCGAATGTAATGAGCTTTTAAGCAAAAAAGTGGACTCCCTTTCTCCGGCCGACATTTTCAAACCATGGAAAAGTTTGATGTAAATATTTTACTGCGATTGTGACCCCTAAATATATAATTACTTCTGTACTGGATTTGGATTGGATATGTCGAAGGAAAGAGAAAAAAATAAGGGAAAAACAGTTTTACTTATTAGTCGTTTTGAAACTGAACGTGATGGAATATTAATACCTCGAAGACATCATGATTTCTTTTATTCACAATTGCATTCGAAATAGATCGTTTCGTTCATTTCGTTTCAAAATCGTCGCTTGTTGCACCGGAAGAGAATATTGATTCCATTTTAAACCTCATTAACATTTTCTGATAATGAGGAGTTGCTCTAATGAATACTGCTGGATAATATAACAAACGAGACATATAATTTGAGTATACCGATCACCTTGTAGTTGAATGTGTGGTAAATATTTGTTCTCCACTTAATAGATAAAATTATAAATTGTAGATCAATTATATAATCAAAAAAAACATTTTCTTCTCTTGATATTATAGAAACGCTAATTCTCTCTCTCTCTCTCCTCTCTCTCTCCTCTCTCTCTCTCTCTCTCTCTCTCTCTCTATATATAATATATATATATATATATATATATCGGCATATTCCAGACAACCATTCTTTATATCCAAAGCATTACAGAAAGTTTGTGTGGTAATTTGAGTTTTAGTTTTCCTTTTTTAAATATGATACACTTAATTCGAAATTGTACTGTGCCGTCCGTATCTGACAAACTACTGCATTTGTGAATCAAAAACAAAATTTACTGCCAGCAGTAGTTTGCGAAACATCAGGATTCATTCTCACAAAGTTAAGTAAAATATTTTTTGTGGTTATTATATTTTGTTTTTATATTTTGTTATATGTTTTGTGTTTATTATATTTTAAAATGGAAATTCATTGGTGCCTTCTAACAACAATGCACGAAAATGCATAAAACTCACAAACATACATGTTCACAACATCTTTTTTACTTAGTTCGTAACAAATTTCTTACACACATTAATCATATGCTTCAAATATATTTTTTGAGAGTCTTGATGTGATATGTCAAAAGCAGAGAGGCGAAAATCAGCTCCATTTCTGAAGCATTGAAGAGTCGCTCTAATACATGTCGTACATCTCGGGATCTTGGAGGGTGGTCGGAGGTGTTGCGCCGCTGGTGGGAGATCCCAGGTTGAGGAAACCCCACTAACCGAATGAAGGTCTGCGCTGGATCTCAGCATGTAGTGGGGGAAGGGGGGAAAGTTCACCACCAACTTCCGGGGAAAACATGCGCTACACATAGGTCCGCCCGGAATCATTAGTCTATCAATCGAAGTGTCCGCCCTCGCCTTCGCCAGTCGATGGTGCCGTCAAATAACCTCCCGCTTTCAGACCTGCGTGGCGGCGCCACAGAATCGCAACGCAGAGACGTCATTCGGTCTTCGTCATCGCGTGGATTGATTGATTCTAATCACGTCAACTGCTACGTTTTACTAAATGTGTTATCCCGGCAGTGGTAATGATCTCTCCCATTCTGGGTGATGAGATCCGACGCCGACTTATGCGTAGATTTGCGAGATTTCCTTCTCGAGGTATCTCCCAACAGCGAAGCACCGCCACAGCTGGGATAAGCTCTAAGTTCCCGACATGTGATAAAGTAATGCATGCCAAAGCGTGTGTAAGGAGTGATGATAGAACAAGGAAGAGAAAGGAAAGATTGCGCGCCATGGCCCGTTTATTAAGATAAATCTTCAATAGTCGCCCAGTGTTGATAGTAGTAATCACGTAGAACTACGTATCGGAAGAGCTGTCCGCTAGAATTTTCTTGAGTCACAGTCGCTGCAGAAACAGGGGCAAGGGAGACATTGAGCTGAACTCAGCTAGTTACTTTGCATTAAAAGGAGGCCCACTTTCGAAATTGAATAAAAATTCTGGGGAAAAATTAGAAATATTAATAAAAAGTATAAATGCAACAATTGTTTCAATGCGTTATTATTATAATGGATTCTAAAAAATAGTTTGTGTGTTCTTGTTTTTTTTCTATTTACTCTGAAGAATTCATGTCTAATAAATAATGTTTCAAATGTTTCTTCTTCTTTCAATACCTGATGTCCAGATACCGAGAATCTTCGAACACAGTACTGTCTTACCTAGGACCAGATTCGACGTAGGCCTATTAGACCGGATATAGACATCGACCCATCAGATAGTCCAACCTAATTTCAGGGATGAGCCTACTATTCCCGGCAGCTTCGATTTACTATTGCAATCGCTAATGCTCTTAAATGACTGCTGCCTTAGACTAAACTGCTGTGACAGTGGTACCATAATTTTCAAAATATAAGTAATAATCATGCGATCAATACAATGGAGATGGTTTCTTTCTGCAACCAACTGAGCCAGCGTCCGCTTCTGTGTTGCAGTGTGTAACCGCACCTACTACGGCGACGTGGGCAAGACGTACGAGCTGGAACTGCACAAGGCGAAGGAGGAGCGGCTGCCCTACCTCTGCCATCTCACCTTCACCGCCAACGGACTCAGCCACGGGGAGCTGGTGCAGGTGAGTTTTCCATCCCTTCTCACTCTCTCAACTAAGCGAACCCTGCACGGAGAAAGCAAGTGAGTGTTGTCCACGTATGTTATGTTTAGTAGCTCTTTAATGCACTTCGATCGCGAAGCTGCATTAATTTTATTTCATTTTTCTATAGAAATTTAATATACGAGTAGGTCAATAGAAACCCGTGCGGTTATATCGCACAGAAGGAAGGGCTGTACAAAAGTTTCCACAGAGAATACTGCATATCCGCGAATAAACATATGTTTTTATATTTACCAAGATCTTTACAGGTATATACCTGGATATTGTTTTGGACTACAAAACGCAAATTATGCTATTAAGCTTGCTTTATGGTAGTAACAAAATGAATGAAATACCATTTCCAAATAATGATCAGAACTCCCTCACCTCTTTGATGTTTTCTGTAGATATCACAAGAACGGTATACAAGGACATACATTGAATACTTACAATTGATAGTCACAATTAACCGATTTAACGATCACACAACACGATGTTCTCTAAGCAAAACCAACGGCTCCTCCGTTTCCCGCGAACTTGCCAAGTGTGCATGACGCCATCTTCCGGTTTCCATTTTCCCACAATCTTCCCGCAAATTTCAACAAAGCAAATATAGAAGCTTCTTATTAATGAAGTGTTAAGAAAAAATACAATTTTCGAAACCTTTGCCAAGAAAGGGATACAAATGGAATAAGAACATTATTTTCAACGAGAACAAACATCAAATTTATTAACAGAAGAAACATTTCATTGCCTTGGCCGCAAAACGAAATTGCTTCTACGGCTTTAGTTTATGACTAGACAATTACAATTACGGCTAGACATCACAGAGAAAACAAAAAACAACTTAAGAGCTTTGCAATAACACATTGAAAGTCCAATTTAAATTCTTGTTTAGACACACATCAAACTGTATGCCATTCACAGCACTATCACTATGGCAGTCGAGGCGAGCCTATTTACAAAATATAGTAGTAAATAAATGGAATCCTGAGCATCTGCTGCCTGACAGGCAACGCTAGTCCAATCCATTGTTGGGAAGTCGCGTGCTGGTATATTTTCATCATGGCATGAGCCGCATGCCTCCTCTCGCCTGCTACGCACGCACCCACGCCAGCGCACAGGCCCAGCCCGCCACGCCAGTCAAGCAGATCAAGCACGTAAGCACGTAAAAGCACAGTCAAGCCACGCCAGAGACACACAAGCTACGTCAAGCCAAAGCCACGCCACTCTAAGCCACGCCAAGCCATACCATGGTAATCAAGCCACGCTCCCACGCACGTCATGCACGCATGCGCAACCACAGCGCAAAGCGCTCGCCACGCCACGTCAACCAACGCCAAGCTCGCCTGCCACCCAGCCACGGGCATCCAAGCATGCCAAGGTACGTCCTAGCCACGCCAGCCACGCCACGCAAGTCAACTAAGTCAAGCCAACGCGCAAGCCCCGTCAAGCCACGCCAAGCCACAACAATCCTTGCCAAGCCACGCCAAGCCACACCAAGCAACGCCTCCTCCGACAGGTCGCCCGTCCCTTCTCTCTCCGAAGTGCTTCTCCTCCCCACACACAGCAGTTGCCCGTGTGAATGTGGACTGGCACCTCAGGAGGGGGGGCGCAAGTCAGTGTTCCTTGCCTTGAGAGGTCGAGAGCGACTGACGGGTATCTTCTTCTGGGGTGGATCAACAAACTGCCTTTGCTTGAGGCAGCCAGCCGAAAAATCTTCTTTTTTCTACGGGGATGCGCGAAATTCATTTTCTGGCCCCATAATCTACTGAAACTGGGGAGCTACCAAATTAATAGCTAGCACCATCGAGCTACCATCTGGTCGGGAAATAATCTTTAGACCGCTCCGGGAAAAATGTGTTAACAAAAGGAAACCTGATATCTATTCAATATATAGTGACCTCCATTGCTTAACTTTTTTTTGGTACTTTACATGTTTATAATCGTTCACAGAGTGTCGATAAGAAGAGACATCAAAATCGTTCATTTTAGAGCTTTATTGGTTAATTAATATTCTCATTGTACGAAAAATCGATGATTATCACTATATAAATACTACGCATGCAATTAACACTCCACCCCCACCAATCAGAATTTAGAAGAAAGCAAAATCGTTTAATTATGTCACTATAACACAGACGTGACCAAGATATTTCCAGTCGTCTATTAAACATGAACAACTAGTGATGCTACCAAATGGCACATACTTTCTCGTACTAGCTTTCTAATTCCTTTGGTCACGGCTTGCCACAAACTCTTGCCAGCTGCCATATATCGCTGCCCAAAGTACATTTTTTGACATTTTGTTATTTTTTCGGTTTTCTAATTGTAGGGCGAAAATATTATTAAAGAACAGTAAAATCTCTTCCTAAAAGGATATTTTCTTTGAAAAATTTGGAGCAGTTTTCAAAAAAATACGTTTAAGCTCTTCTGTAAATTCGAAATTTAAAGCTCTTTTTCACAATTTTTGAGTTTTCGAAAAACTTCATTTAAAGTAAGTTTAAGTACTCAACGTAAGTAAGTTAAGTAGTAAAGTAAGTTTAACTCAAAAATACAATAGTGTTTACAAATTGCTGGAAATTTGCATATCAATGGCGTGAAAGATTTTTCAAAAAGTTTTCATTTGTGTAATTTTGAAAAAACAAAAAAATACACTGAAATGAACTTTACATCAAATTAAAGAGTGCATGTACCACTATCCGTTCGAAATGTTTTAAGAGATAATTTGGAACCGTTTTTGAGAAAATGTTCCAGGGGATTCATGTAAAGTACCCCCCAACACTAATGAATTATTTTCAAAATCTCAGAGATATGACTCAGGCCAAATGGACAGAGGTTTATTCAGTTTGGAAAAAGTCTTCCGCATGGTTTACGGGCTAGTGTTGTTCATATACACTAGACAGACTGGCGAACGTACATACACACAGACAAACGGACGGACGGATGTTTCGGGAAATACATTTTTTCGGTGTCAGGGGAACCCAAAACGTGAATTGCCATTCAAATCGCAAAATCTATTTTCTTCAGTGTTGCATAACTTTTCCTCTACTACGTATATTACTCCGTATATACATACGTATACGGAAAAGAAAAAATATACGTCATTGATTATATTACACATAACTACACATAAACAACGAATAAATAAAACTAAATTGGCGAAGTAAATGGTAAGCTAGCTGACTAATGGAAATACATAAAATATTTAACATGAATAAATTAAATTTTTATAAGAGAAACATTAGGTATTGGCATTACAAATGTAAAACAATATGAAAGTCAATTGTATTTAACCGTTCTAAACAGTACGCAAGCAAAATTGTGTCGGAAGTGTCTTTTTTTCTTCCCAAATGTTATAAATATTGATTCTTCTCTCATATCTGTCTTAACTTTTCGTGGGAAATAAGCTTCATATCTTTGTCAGCTTCATCTAATACTTCATCCAGAATGTCCAATACCTTTCATTTTCAAACATTCCTTGCCAACAAACGCAATGCAAGGCCCAATAAATTAAGTCTTTTTGAGAAGCATTACGTCGTCAAACGTATGTCTCAAATGTTAAACATGTGCAAGAAGTGCTCAAAAATTAAATTATTCTTAAATGAAAAGGAAAAAATACTGACAGTAACATGTGTATAAGCATGATGAGTAAAAAAATAGTTTCCTTGATATTTAACCCAACTCATGGTTTCATGCTAAGTATATTCAAATATTCAGTAATAGTATAGTATAGTACTTGTATGTCGTGACAATACATTTGTGTTATCTATCAATAATCTGATATAGAAATAGTGCTGAGTAAAATCAATGGGCGTGAAACACGCAATTAAAAGGATAAAAATATTTCATTTCCTGAAATAACATACGCAAGGAATTTAAACCGTTTAAATAAATATATTTACACGTAAGCGTTTTCATTCAGTCACGGAATTCTCCTGCGCATTCCATTTAAATTTCAGCAAAGAGAAGGCAATACCCCCGACAAAGCAGCATCTCTCGGAAAAAAAACAGCCGGGCAGGAGCGAAGAGTTTTGCGCTGCAGTAATTATGCCGAATGGAGAGGCGAAGTGGCGAAGAGGCGGCGTGCTCGTGAAATACAAACCCTCGGAGGAGAGGGAGGAGGGCAATAATACCATCCGAGGATCTCAATTGGAGAGACCTTCGGCGGGACTTC